CCCTGAGGAAGGACCTCACCACAGCTACCCGGCCCCCCGCCCCACCCCGCCACCCCGTCTCCCCAAGTCCCGACCTAATCCCACACCCCAATCCCCACACCCCGTCTCCTCCACACTCCTCTGCCCTCCCATCCCACCCCCCGCCCCGCCCAGTTCCCGGATAGGCGAGCCCTGCAGGGGTGGGTGGCAGCAGCAGAGGGAGCAGCAGCAGCAGCGGCAGCGGTGGCACCACGCCAGCTGCCCGGCGTGAAGGCAGGAGGGCCGAGGGCAGCGACGCAGCAGCAGGGAAGGAGGGGCAGGCGGGCCAGCGTCCCAGCTGCCACCCCGCCTGCCTGTCCAGCTGAGTCAAGGCAAAGACACCAGCACAGGTGCCCGCGGCCGTGTGCAGGGCACGGGGATGCCAAGGAGGACAGCGGCTGAGGGGCAAGGGCCAGGCCTGGGTTCACAACCACATGGGGGCCTCAGGGTGCCGGCACAGAAGGCCTGGGCCCCCTTCTAAGTGTCCAGGGTGCCTGCCTCCGTGTGCCTGTGTGGCCGTGGCTGCCGGCCTAGCTGGTAGGGCGCGTGCGCACACGGCATGATCCGGTGAAGTCTGGCTGCAAGCACAGGCGATCCGGGTGCTCGTTCTGTAGCACGCACACGGCCACCTCCCCTAAAAGGCACTCAGACGGAGCGCCTCGCCTCTCTGGACTCCTCCCCAAGAATCCTAACCGCAGCCACTGTGTAGCCAGTGAGCGCCACCTGTGTACCCAACACTGGGCTGGCACCTTGATGCTTGCTGCCACAGAATCTGCATCCTAGTCACAGCTCATGCTGATCCGGTGCACACAGCCGGCCACACGCAGCAGCCCATGTGATCTCTCCACGGTCCCAAGAGCAGTGATCACACTGCACCCATTTCACAGATGAGAGACTGAGGCCAAGGAGCCAAAATGACTCCAGACTTTCCAGACATGGAGAAGTGGAGCTGGGACTGAAGCCCCAAGCGTGTGCGCATCCCCTTAACACTACTCAGGTGACTTCTGAGCTGCTTCTCAAAGCTGACGGAGGACGACCCAGGTGACATGCACAAGGCCACCCAACGCTGGCACAATCCAAAGCTCAGCCACTTTGCACGATTTCTGAATTATCACTAGCTTTGGCCTCCAAGTCCTGGGACCCTTCCAGGGTCCCTCACAAGCTTGGCCCTGAATAACTCCGGCAAATAAAAAAAAAAAAAAAAAAAAAAAACCAAGCAAACCAACCAACCAACCAACCCGAAAACCCCCAAAGGTTAACAACCCCAAGGAGAAGTCAGAGGGGCGGCCCTTGGCTCTTGTGCACAGGTGGTAGGACTGTCCCCTGGACAACACCTCTGGAAGGCAGCTTGGTCTGGGGACTTTGAAAGGGTCACAACCTTTGACCTAATAATTCCCCCTCCAGGAATGTGTGATAAAGAATATTCAGGTTGGTCCCATGAGGTGGCTCATGCCCGTAAGCCCAGTGCTTTGAGCAGCCAAGGTGGGAGGATCGCCTGAGGCCAGGAGTTTGAGACCAGCCTGGGCAAGAGCAAGACCCCGTCCCTACTAAAAATAGAAAGAAATTAATCGGACAACTAAAAATATATAGAAAAAATTAGCCGGGCATGGTGGTGCATGCCTGTAGTCCCAACTACTCGGGAGGATGAGGCAAGAGGATCACTTGAGCCCAGGAGTCTGAGGTTGCTGTGAGCTAGGCTGACGCCACGGCACTCTAGCCCGGGCAACACAGTGAGACTCTGTCTCAAAAAAAAAAAAAAAAAAGAGATAATGTCCTTGTTCTCAAGGGCTGAAATATTATACCAAAACATTAAGGGGTAAAGAGACATAATGTCTGCAACTTACTCTCAAATGACTGAGAAAAAAACGTGTGCATATTGAGAGAGCTAAGGATAAAGCTAATGCAGTCAAAGGTTTACAGTGGGTAAACAGGGCGTAAGGCCAGCCTTACACACCCGAAGACGGCCCCCAGCAATGCCACCTCCTCGTATTCAGTCCCCTCCCACATCATTCCAGGGTTGTTCTCTGTGGCCAATAGAATGCAGCAGAAGGGATCATACATCACTTCCAAGATTAGGTTATAAAAGAGTCTGGCTCCCACCCTGAGCACTCTCAGTCTCTCTCCCTGGGTCACTCATTCACTTCGCAGGAAGCCAACTGCAGCATGTCATGGGCTGCCCTTTGCAGAGGCCAGCGCAGGGAGGAACCGAAGCCTCCTCCCACAAGCCACATAAGCGTGTGCGGGAGCAGGTCCTCAGCCTCGCCACGCCTTCACACGGCTGCAGCCCTGGCCGACATCCGGACTGTAACGTCGTGAGGGACCCTCAGCAGCCCAGCTGAGCTGCTTCCAGATCCTGCCCCTTGGAAACCGCGCGAGATACGCGAATGCCTGTTGTTTTAAGCTGCTACGTTTTGGGGATAGTTTATTACCTCTCAATAGAAAACTAATACATCTGGTTAAAGAGCAGAGCACTCCCATGAGTTCTTCGTACTAGTCTTGAAACTTTTTTATATGTTTGAAATCATTTAAAAATAAAAAGTTTAAAAATACCAAAAAGTAAAAATATAATTTTTTTTATCTCATTCTCATTAAAAATGCAGACACATACACACATTCCATAAACTAAGTCACAAGCCAAATGACATGGAGGGGGATACATCTCCAACTCATAGCACAGACAAAGCTCATCTCTCTCATATATAAAGAGCCTCTAGAAATTACTAAGAATCACAACTGGTGAGAAAAGGAGGGCAAAGGATCAGACAGTGCACAGAAAAGGAAACGCAAAAGGCTTATGTATTTCAAGAGATGTTCAACCTCACTTGTAACAAGAGAAATGCACATTAAAAGCACTCTAGGGTACCATTTTCCACCCATCACATGAGGAATAAGCCCTATGTCCAGTAAAGACACTCGCATACATTGCCTGAAGGGTCTAAACTGGTACAATCTGCAGCAACTCCAGAGAAATGCGATTCAGCTATAGCCATCCAAATTACAAACGCACCCTTGCTTTGCTCCAGCAAACGGGCTTTCCGAGAAGTGACCAAATACACCTGCACATGTGAGAAATGGCAGGTGAATGAGTTGCTTCCTCTGGCTGTGTGGAAAGCCAAAGCCTGGACATGGAGGACACCGGTACTTTGAGATGGGAGTCTGCCAGCCTCCTTGTTTGCCGGCAAATTAATAAACTTCTCTTTCCTTGTCCTCGAAACAAACGAGAAACCCTGGACATGGCCTAATGTGCATCAATACAGCTTATTCAAGGAATCACGGTCCCTCTGCACAGAGCAATACTTCAAGACTGTAACAGAGGCACAAGGACGTTTCCTCTCCACTGCAGCCAAAGTAAGTGTACAATGTGCTATCTTCCGGGCATGTGCGCGTTATAGCACAGGCTGCATACAACAGAGAACCGGAAGTGTATACACAGTAAGTTCCTGTGGTTACCTGAAAGGGGATGCAGCAACGAAGCAGCAGTGGGCTGGGAACGTAGGCTAGGGTGGGACACTGTCCGCTGTACTTTGAAAAATGCTTTTTGACAATTGAACCATGTAATGAAATCCCTAATTGAAAACATTTTAAATGGACGGAGGGAAAAAGGCTAAAAGAAAACTCATACCAAAATATTACTAATTGCTTTCCACACAGTACTATGACAGAGGATTAATTTTCCTTGTTTGTTCTTTTCTGTATTTTCTAAATTCTCTAAATGAGCATGAAATTATTTTTATGATTTTTTAAAAGAACTACCACGAGTGAATGAGTAGATTGCTTACCAAGAGATTTTTTTTTTTAAGAGATAGGGTCTCACTATGTTGCCCAGGCTGGTCTCAAACTCCCGGCCCCAAGCAATCTTCCTGCCTCAGCCTCCCAAACGGCCACAGCACCCAG